ATCTCCTTGATATTTTTATAATATAACATTTTGTTTTATATATAATAAGTTTTGTTCTAATAAGCATATGTATGTGTCAGTGAAACTAAAATAGATTCGACATTATAAAATGCTATCATTCGATGTTAACATGTTTAACCATGTTATTATTAACAATTACAGGAAGTAGGATTTGTTTTTGGACCTCGTAATATTTCGAGAACATTTATCATTGATCACTACAGAAAAAATATTTTATATTTTAATTTTTTTCAATATTTAATTGGCGAACACACTTTTGGTTACGTAAAATCAACAATTTAGTTTGACTGGTGATATTTATTTATCAAACGGAAGAAAGAATTATCTGTGAAATTTACCTGCACTTTGATCAAATTTTTTTTATTTTATGTCAATATTAGTATATTATTAATACATATATACATATATTATCAAAACTATAATAAAGATTGTAGTAAATAAATATTGCAAAACTTTTTATTTTTATAAAATTTGATGTCATAGAAAACATAAAATACACAAGGAAATAGCATTTTTTAATTATTTATGTAAAATATAATAATAATATGTTCTGAATCATAGTACCTTGATGAATTATTTTTGTTTATATGTAACAGAATTGTAGAATAATTGTAAATATACATACAAAAATCAGTAAAATAATTTAATTAAAATGGTTTCGAAAACATTTAGTCGATAACATGCTAAAACTACAACATACAAAAAATAAAATTTATTTTTATATTATGTTAAATTAAACTGTGTATAAAATAACGAAGTGTGTGTACATATTGCAAGCATGCAAATAATAAATGTAGCGCCAAAATCAATTATTTATATCACCAACTATAAATACTTTTTTCCAAAATGTTGATTAAAACTTGATAGAGAATTCAAGAATTATTAGAAAAATAATTGGCATAAAAAATAAAAATATAACTTTTTATATCCTGTTATTTATCTTCCGTAAATTGTTCTTTCAGCGTCTCTAATCGCAAATATGTACAAAAAAAAAAAAGAAAATGAAACTGACGTACCTTGCTAATATTACTTTCCGAGCAACATAATATCTTCCGTGATAGGCAGCGTATCGCTTATATACTTGCTGCTTAATGAAGGGAGAAAGAAAAAAAAGGACGGTAGGAAACAAGGGAAGAACAGTGACGATGAGGAAAAAAGCTTTGTGTGACGTATACACGAAGGTGGATGATGAACAAGTGTTACGTCGCACGAAACCGCACCGTGCAACAAGCGTATATCTCGTGGTGCATGCAACCCACCAGTATAGAAGAAAAATAATATATAACGAGCCGAGAAAGGCGGAGAGAAATAAGCGAGAGGCTAAATCTTACGAGAATCAAGGAGAAAAGTGTACAAACCTCGGTGTTTAGTGGCCTCGCGCGTCTACTATGTCCGTACCTTTTCACAATTACGCTCATAAGCGTTTTCGTCTCTGCCTAGCCATAGTTTTCGCGTTCACTCACGTATGTAACGTGCGCACGTGGGTGCACGCTTCTGCAAAACGTTATTATTGCTTTGAATAAAACAGCAGTGCTTCCCTGGTGCGGCTTTATAAACGGATTACAAGTTCTATTCTTATTTATGAATTATTAATTATTAATTCACGACATTAACTTTTTTCTTTCAGTGATTAATATATTTTATGTGGAAAATATATTGCATTACATTAGTATTTGTAGTATTATTTATGAATATTACATTGCAGAAAAGATAATAACGTCTTACCTCTCTGATGATCTTGCAACTTTTGACGATGCCAATGTGCGAGAACAGAGCAAATAATAGATCCTCCGACACTGCATAATTCAAATTCCCGATATACCTGAATATTAATCATTAAGAAAATTAATTATCCTAAGCATATTTGACGAAATTAGAATTTTTACAAGTTATATTATTTTTATTATATTGTCAGTGCGTATATTAAAAAAATTACATTTTTGCATATTTAAGAATAAAAATATTTATTAAATTATTTAAAAAAGTTCTACTTTTTAATAAAATAATTTTTATAACTGATACAAAATATAAAGTAAACACAAACATTTAACTTAACGATCATAATAATTATGCTTACATTAAAAATTACTTTTTATACTTTCTAATCGTGAAAATTAAAACTATATTTACTGGATATACCTATCTAAAAACAAACTGACATTGTTAAGATAAAATATTATTAACATATAAAAAATACGTATTAGTCAGAATTAATTTGAAATTCGAATTTGATCGCCAAATCTTGATAGCAGCATAGTCACGAAACGGCGAGTTGTTCCACAAAATATAGCGAGGGATGGATACGTGCCAGAAACCCATATGTCCGCCAGCCGAATTAGAGCGGAAATAGGCAAAAATCCAAATTTCCGAAATGTATACCATACATGGCGCACAGCGCGGTACGTACCGCACGATAAATCCTAAACTCGTAGCCGGAGCTCGATTTCCGTAATGGAAGAACAATGAAGAGTGCTTCAGGAAACAATACGATAATACGGGCGACTGTTACGAGAGCGGTGCGGGAATAGAGCAGTAGTAAATGTCATCGGAGTCGCGCATAAACTTGCTATTAACTCGTTATACGTATCGTGAAATAAAACGCACCGCAATACGGACATACATAAACTAAGCTCGGATGATCATAATACTTCTTCATTTAATTACTGGAAGAGAAGCTTGATGCACAGGGGTTGAATATTAGGGAGTTAAATTGGCTATATAATATCCTATATTGAAGCACACGCGGATGACGGCATCTTAAGAATTTATCTTAAACCGTTAGATTTGAAATTGCCCGTAAATATGAAAAAGAAAATTATTATAAGCGAAACGAAAATTAAAACCACACAAAAGAATTACAACCAAACGATTTCAAACAAGATTGATGAGATACAATACTTACAAAGTCTTCGGCGTTGTATCATCCGACATACTGAACTAACTATTTCACACCGCGACGAGCCGCTAAGCGCAGCAGCTTCTCGCATACTTGCACGTTAGAATCGAGTAATTTTACTTAAATACATCTTATGCACGCCAACTAGAGCATAGAAGGTCTAAAGGGTCCTAATAATGGAATTGCGAGCTCTTAGCGCGTGCGTGGATCTCGCAAACTGCCAAACAGTCTGCCAAAGTGAAGAGTGGGCGGTAAATTTTAATTTTGAACTATTTGTATTCTAAATTAAGAAGATACTTATAATGAAGGCTTATGCGAGCTCCTATTGTGGTAAGCAAAAATTAAAGTCATCATGTTCTGAAGTCAATTGCGCTGTAAAGTGAAGAAGCAAAAACTTTTCCAGCGTTAGCAGTTCGCTGTTTGCTTGCACATGGATCCTATCGCGCGTTTGGCTTAAGCAAATATAACTCAGTGTTTCAATGAAAACATGCCAACGATATCTACTTCGTCACGATGTCGACGATCTCTTCAGGAAAACGAAGAAAAATATATCTCGTGAAATTCACCCTGCCATGGCCAGACGCTATAAATAATTCGTGAGTAGCTATCGTAAACGTCGTGGAGTTTTTCCGAGGTGTAAATCACTCTTACTAGGGTTCGTTGTAAAATCTTACCCTTACTCCACTTTATGTTACCGCTGTTGAGCATAAACGTCTGTCTCGCGATGTACGAGTATTTGCATGTTGAAAAGGGAAGCGTGGCTGCGCATCATGCACACAGTGTATAGCAACCAATGCATACCGAATCGTCGGACAGCCAGATATGAATGGCATTGTATACGAAAGTAATATGTAGAATATAATATATATATCAGAATAGCCATTTCTAATATAGCAAATTTCACATGAATTTCGCACGGAGAATGTTATTTCTATAAGCGCACAAGTGCATACATATGTTAATATATCTCTCCTAGAAATTATATTTAGAAGAAACATCATTCGAAGAGAGAAGAAATATGTAGATTATGAAATTTCCTCACCAAAAACGTTTGAAAATGCTGGATATACGAGAAGTGACGCAAAACTTTTTACGGCGCAATATACATGCAAAAAAATTCAGACATCTTTATAGGTTCAATTATGTAGATTTCGATTCTTAAGCTTGGATACTTTTTGGGTAGAATTACATCGATATTGATGTAGTAAGAAAAAAAGTACATAGATTTTATGCGATGTTATAGTTTCTTAAATCTTGTTATAATTTGACGAAATTACGAAAAGATTGATGTACAACGTGACTTTCCGTGTGCATGATTATTCGCGTGACAATATAGGTTCGGCCGTACGTATTAAACGCCGTCACGTAAAAGCCGGCACTTAATTTCCCCGCAATTATAACGTATGCGGGTCACCGTGAAACGTGCCGACCGAAAAATTCTACGTCGAAAGATTTGAAGGAAACATATTTCAAAGTCAGCCTGGCTAGATGGTGAGGATATAAAATAGCAGTCGATCAGCAACGTCAACTTTACGGATCGTGCCCACAGCGACCACAGTTGCATGTCGAAAGCGTCGGCCGTGCCTTTCGGAGCCGCTGAGAAGCCACGAAGTACCGCGAAAAACTTAGTTTTGCGAGGACGATAAATCATCTTGAAATTCGCCAGGACTGACAGCCATGTAGTTTTACGAGAGCCTGCACGCAAAATGCAAAACAGTCTCGAACCTGGTGGGCTTGCACCGCAATTAATTAGCGTTTCGTGATAGCCGTGCATGTGCCGAAGCGTTCCCTTTTTTTTCTCAGCCCCGCTAAAGCCGCTCGCGCGATAAGGTGACGCTATTCGCTGATCCGATTGGACATGTAACACCATTTTAAAGAACATATCGGCACTGCTCGGCTGCACGATGCCGAGAGATTATTGTCCAAGTTTCCCATAACTCTGTTACGTGCCACTATAGCCGCATACCTGCCATACACTTAAGAGTTAATACTACTGATATCAATGAAATAATGATTTCCGATAACATATGCGTAAATTTGTAAATCCAATTATGCGAGGGAAGAAAATTAACTCATGAAAATGTAAAAGAATATAGTAATTTATTAAAATACGCGCATACACGAGAGTCAAAGTTAGTATTTTTTATAATTTGCTATATAGCGAATTAGAAAAATTTATAATCTATTATATCTTTATTCAATTACGAACCGTATATTTACATGTTATTTCATTTACACGTTCTCGTCCCAGTATTTTTATCTTTTCTATTTAACATTCCACACGTACATATCTCCATTCACAAAACCACAATTACACACAGCCTAAATGTCAATAATATATTGAATGTTATATATTGAAAATATATACGAATATAGATATACGCAAATAAATATAAATTGTAATAGAAGATGGCCAATCGCTTGCACGTACTAATAAATTGAATTATAATACATATTTTTTCATTTACAGCTAATAATTGATTTGCTACAAACTAAAATTTATTAATAAGAAGAGAATCATAAAGGCCGATTTTATAATAGTACAATTACTATTTCATACACATATATTATAAATAATGGTTTGTGATAAAATTAAGAATAGTAGAATGATACTGTAAAATACAAAATTTGATTTGTCTGCATCCTATTTGTTTCTTTTAGAACGTTAAGTGCAATATTAGCATTAATTGTCCACTCTTTTCCTTATTTTGAATCAAAAACAAAATTAAATTTCCTTTAACGCGATTTAATTAATCACGTGGCACGTAGTTGTGAGAAAGATATCCTATCGATCATGATTTCGGTACAAAACCAGTCTTGGGTGGTGGGCCGACGGGTTTGCCGGTCATAGGCATCGTAGGATCTATTCCCATCGCAACGGGAACAGACGGTGTTCCTACGTTGCTATTACTGACTGATAAGGCTGAATACAAAGACGGCGAAGGAGATACTCTCTCGATTGACATGGTCTGCTGAGGAAGTTGAGCGTCAGTCTGGATACCTCTGGATCCATATATTTCCTTTAGTATCAAGAGCATAGTATCCTCAGATTCCCTGAAATTATAAAATTGATAGAACAAAAAAAAATTAATATGCAGTACATATAATGCAACATATTTTTTATGGTGAATGTATTTACCAATAGCAGATATGACTTGTCAGAGCAAAAATATATTCGTTGATATATTCAAAAGGCGCTTCTTGAAGAACATAATCTATCCTTCGTCCACCATTGAGCTGTCCTATTTTTAAGTCAGCACCACCGTCATCGTTGTTTTGTTGATCTGATACGTTCGGCGTTTTCTGTAATTGTTCCTCGACAACTTTATCAATTTCGCGTTCCAGAGCTTGATTGTCCGGTTTGTGAAATAATGTTAGTTGATAGAAAGTGTTCCACGTGTGTTTCACAGAATCAAATATTTTTTGTTTCAAATCTGCTCCGACACGTGCCATCGTCTCCTTCAATTCTGAAAATTTATCAATAGACACATGAATTCTTTATGAAAGTTTATTATTATAGATTATTACACGCATTGTGGAAATAAATAAATAATTTTTACTTACCCAAATGCATTCTTTTTCTGCCTTTGTGATGTGGTATCAACATAGGTCGATACTTGGAAGCTTCAGGATTAATCAAAGACTCCACTCTGTAAGCTACCGGATCGAACGGATGAAAGATATTGAAGAAAGCCGGACAAGTTGGTAGAATAAAGTTTTCTCCGAGAGTGTCGATGCCTCGAACCGTTACAAACATGCCGATCGGACTGCCGAAAGCAAAGAAGGCACGTGGGTGAAAATTGAGTTGCGGATAATGTATGTAAGGTTGACCAGTGCCTGCAATGCCCATTACGTAACTGATTTTCCTACTAAGGCGCCTTTTAAGAATAGACGTAGGCATTGGCCGAATCGGTCCAATACTGTCATCTTCCTGCAACAGCAATTAATATTTTAGAGTTATTTCAAGATATATTTCTTTTTTTAAATATATATTGTAAAAAGCATACAAATTAATCAATTAACGGCCTTCTTTTACTTACACCTCCTTTATCGCTACCAACGTCATCATCGTTTCTCTTTTCATCTTCATCTTCTTCCTGAACGGGATTTTGATGGCACAATAGATCAAACATGATTAAACTACCCAACGAATGACCACCTAAGTATATTCCTCCGTCAAAGCTGGGATTTCTGTCTTTGAATAACGCATGCAATCTGTTCATCTCGCTTCCAACAGTGTGCATAATGGTCTGACAGTACGTAGGACTGGTGTAGAAAAGTACATCAAGCAAGGTATCATTGGTAAAATGCCGTAACTTTGGAATACTTTCCAACGTGATAGCTTGCAGCTTCTTGTCGATCCCCGTATCGTCGGAATGAAGCGTCGTGTGCCAAGAAATTGGCAGAACTTCTATCCTGCTAACAATTCCTTGCTCACTCGCTGTGCGATAATGAGACTGCACCAGTTGAAGTGAAATGCTTCGAAATTCATCAACTGTAAAAGAAAAAATTTATATGTAGACATTTGTATCAAGAGACTTGGTGAGAATTTATTTTAGTTTAATAATAAAACCAATTCATACTTAATTAATATTAAAAAAAAAAACTTAATTTAGTCTAACTTAATATTTAAAAAAATTTATAACTCACCAACTTCTTCTACAGTGCGGAATTTCAAATCACACACGCTACCTATACCGTGAACAAGGAATAGAAGATGATCCACTTTTTCGGGCTCACCCTCCTCTATGTGGAATTCATCCACTCCTCTTTTAACGACTCTAGGTCTACTTGTAGCACCCTGTAAATATGTACTGTCCTCTGAGCCCTGTACAAAATTAGGACTCGACATATCAAACAGAACCATGCGTATAATATTTGAAATCTACACATCTTGAACGATAAAAGTAATTTAATTTTTAAAAAATAAGATTTTTTTAAAGTGACAACAGACAATGTAAGATTAATTAAATGTGTTTTAAGAAATGTTTATGATTTTGAGCATTATTATTACTGCGTTTTTAATTAAAATTTATAAATCAAAATCAATTGTACAAAATAAAATATAACTTTGAATAAATCACATGCGATCAAAATGATGAAACAAAGTTGATATTAATTCTTCCATTCAATATGAAATAAGAACGCAATACAAAGACTTCTTTATTACGAAAAAAAATTATTATCTAAGTAATGAAACATTTTGGCCCAATTTCGGAATTTCCTCAACGGTCCTCAGTCTGACGACATTGCAACTGATAAGATAGTCCACGTGGACTTGACAAGCGGCTCACTTTCTAACGCGCCAGTGGCGTAATCAGGGACAACGAGATTGGGGACCTTACACTGAGGGTGTAAACATGAAAAAAAAAGGTAAAAGAATACACCAAGTACACGCGTTTGTCAGAACATCATATAATGTTGTCATAATTATATAATGTTCTGACAAACGCGTGTACTTTATACATGTTTTTACCCTTTTTTTTAAAGATATTGTAATAGTGTATATACACGTTGATTCTTATTAATGACATCACCGACGTGTAGGAAAGTGACAGCCGGTCGTCAAGTTCAAGTAGACAATTGCAATCCCGCTAGACAATACGAAATGTTTAATTTAGACTTTTTTTCGCGCTCTTTGACATCCGCGCTGTGGCTAAAGAAAATGAAAGTAGGATCGTCGCACGTTATTAACGATTCAACGTGTTGATATTCATCATCGTAATTGCCGAAAAAACTATCGGTTTCACTGTGAGTTGTCAGAATTCGTGACTGTCTTTTTAGGCCACTCTTAGCACGTCTTTATAAAAACTCGCAACTCTCACTCAAATCGTCTCTCAGTCGCTCCTCTCTTACGGCTCGCGTCTGTTTGTTACACGTCACCGCTTCTCAAACGTTTCGCTGTTACACAACACGTGTGATCAACTCTATTTTCGATATCCTCAATATCCAATCAATATACATATATTAAATTCAAAATATTCAAATTTCATAATTATGATACAAGTAATTAACTTAAATATTCAATTTAATGTAAAGTTTTTTTTCCATTGAATATATTTTGCATTAAATGGAAGAGTTAAATTTTATGTGTAACTTATCATGTTTATTAGTTGGCTTTTATAGGCATATAAAATATATAATACTATATATACACACAAAATAATATTTTAATATATGCCTATAAAAGTCAACTAAACATGAAAAAAAAGGTAAAAGAAGTACACGTATTTGTCAGAACATTATATAATTATGACATTATATAATGTTCTGACAAACGCGTGTAATTGATGTATGTTTTTACCTTTTTTTTTTAAAGTATTGTAATAGTGTATATACACGTTGCACTTTGATTCTTATTAATTATATTTTTTAAAATCTTCCTTATTTTTTTTCTCAAATATATGGAATTTTTATTATAAAATTCTAATTAAATATTTTTAAAATACAAAACTTCTTCAATTAATATCAATTTTGTTTCATCAGTTTGATTGCACGTGGCTTATTTACTCACCGCGCTATTTCCCCAAGATCCTGCCAACTCGGGAGACGTCGGTTGCAAATAATGAACCTGAACTGTAGCGCTGTGGAAGACAATGTACTCTCCGTTATTCAGTTCAATTTTTCGGTTCCAATTATTCGTGAGGCATGCCTGCTTGTACTCCTCCTCGAGTTTTGCAGCGGTGGTCTCGTTGTAAGGAACATATCTTGATTCGGTTGCTCCTTTGAAAAACCAAGAACATCGTCTAACTTCACTGGATGCGCCGGTCCAGTAAACGGGCACTCTTTGACGGCGCAAGATATCAACATCATAACGGCCGCCATCAGTAGCCACTATTGTTTCAGGCGTAATATCGCTGGAATTGTGAGCATTTTCTAACTTTAAGCTATCCTGCATGGAGAACGGAAGCCATAGCGTTTTGCTCTCCACTTCCTTGCGATAGAACCAATGATGGTATATCGGTCTATATTGCATACACTTATCGGAAGATCCAGAGGCCTAAAAATATTTATTTATTTTGAGTAAATACTGCGATGTTTTGGACAATGCACTAATTCAAAGTATAGCTAACTAATTAATTCTGTGCTAACGTAAATATAAATGTAAACACTCTATGTAGAAAATTTATTAAAAAACATATTTGTATCTCAAATAATTATTGATTAAAATAATGAAGAAAACTTATCAATAATTAATTTCTACTGTTTGTTTACAAAATCTTATCAGCCACTCTTTCGTTAATCTTATAAATATACAAAGATATAAAATCTGCAAGATATCTCTTACCCAATTTTGGAAACTTGGTGGGACAGTATCCGGCGTGCTGCGATTAGTCGGTGAATTAACCGACATTTGAACAGGATTGAGTGTGGCTGATCCAGTCGGTTCAGGCACTGTCGTTGCCATCGAGACGGCAGAAGGATATGCGGAATTATTTTCAGGAGTAGTGTAGAATTGCTGCTGTCCACTGGTACTCCCGTAAAAATGCGGATTTTGATACGATTGTTGTTGAGGAGAATGTTGGTTGTACGTTTGTGGAAAAGCCGATTGTGTAGGAAGTTCATTCGCAAATTGAGTTGGGTTATAAAATATCGGTGGCGGTTGTGGTGGTTGGCTGGGCGCAGTATATATCTGACTGCTGTACGCCGATTGATTGGATGCACTGTTTAATACCTGCTGCTGAGAAGATTGATCGGCACTCCAAACTGACATACAAGCCGTTGAGTCGATTGGAATCGAGCTCGTGGAGACAATCGCTTTAGAGTTAAATGCAGATGTTTCTTGTAACTGATTTTTTGCCGCATCAATTACCGTTTGGTCAAAACTCGCATTTTTATCCTGATACGAAGGATTCGAAAATTGGTCCGCTTTTGGTGCAGACACACAGTGCGCCTCAACAAACGCAGTTGCGGACTGCGGCGGAGGAGGATAGAAATTGGTTTGTTGCGAAAGTGGGATGGGAGGTACGTAATTTAAACTCGATTTTTGATCTGCAGGTTTTACATCGAAAGCGGAAATCGATGCAAATATCGGTGGCGCTTGGTAAAGTTGTCGAGACGGATGTGCGTCCGACTTATCTGCTTTAGTATCTGTTAAAACTGAATTGTTATCAGCTGTGTGTACTTCCGAGGAGGTCACTGATTGCGTCGCTGGCTCTTGCCCAAGAAACACGTCACTCCAAGTATCACTTCCAGATTGAGCTGTTTTCACTTCGGTATCGTTTAACTTTATCTCGTATAATTTATCGATAGACTCATTCGTAGCCTGCAATGTCTCGCTCTGTGGTTTCAAAGATTTCGCTGATTCAGCAGCGGATGTAATTTTATTAATAACTTCCAAAGAAGCTCTGGAGGTTGCTTCGCCAGAAGGATCTTCCTTCTGTTCTACAAGCAAATGTTCCAATTTCTCTGTCACCTTCGCAGCTGATATTGGCGCAAATGTCGTCTCGATCTCGCCTGATATCAATGTTGGTTTAATCACAGATTCTACAGACGTGTCGAAAGTATTGTTTTTCGAAACTTCTTCTGGCAAATTTAGCTGATTAGGTGCTTTAAGCGCAGCTTCCGGTTTGTCTGAATTAGGCAAAATTGGTAAGAGATCTTGGCTCGGCGAGAGGCCAGGAAACGAAACGTTCGCCGGAGTATTCTGTGGCGTTGCAGGCTCCGGTGCGCGTGGAGGTATTGCTCTAGATAACGATTTAGAAGCAATTTGCGTAGGTGTGGAAAAATTGTCAGAAAATGGATTCTGATTTGCGAACGGATTTGTAGACGGATTATGTACCACTCCTGCGACTGGACTGGATCGAAATGAGCTATAAGGAGAAATATTCCGCTCAAGTGTCAGACTTTTCTCAAGCGAGGAATTGGGCTGCTGTACGCTAGAGCTGCTATCTTGTGATCCATCTGACTGATATGGATTCAAGATGCTTGGCGACGCGGACACATTTTGATTAGGAAAGAACGTCTGTACCGCCGGGTTCGAATATGGCTTCGCGTTGTTCGACGTTAGATCGGGCGGAGGTGCATACTTCATGCGTCGATTACCGAGCCGATAGGAAATGGGCACTGTAACAAAAAATAATGTGATTAAAGCACTGAATAAATATTCTTGTAATATAATAATAGTACAAACTTCAAAAAATTAATTACATATGCACAAGCACGTTGCAAACATTTAAAATTCGACAATACTTATGTATAAAGGCTTCAATGGTATAAATCAACACAAGAAAATAAAAGACAAAATGAGTCGAGTTGGTTGTTATTACATGTATTTGACTTTTTTTAATCGATTGTAAACAACGCAAAATAATTTTAATTCATTGCCGAATTAATTTGAGGATGCGTACGACACAACTTTTATGATTTATGACTATGCGAATTTTATTTTACTAAGTTATTACACCGAAGAAGGCCTGATAGAGGCAGAAACGTTTGTTGTTTACAATCGATTAAAAAAAGTCAAATATATGTAATAACAACCAACTCGGCTCGTTTTGCCTTTCATTTTTTTGTATTGATTTAAAATTCGCCTTGAGAAATGTTTTACGTATGTAATAATGCATTATGTACGAATTACATTACGTACATCAGATTTTCTATACCGAGTTGCTTATTGATACGAAAATTTTATTTATATCTATTGAAACGCAATTTTAAAATTATTGATTAATTTTAAACACTCACCGTGTGCAGGCTGAGATAAACTAGGTGGAACTGTAGGTAGCGGACGATTGGGTATCGTACCAGTGGAACCGAAAGCAGCAGACTCTGACGAGTTTGTATTTCGAAAATCCTGAGGATTAGTCGCTAAGAATCTTGGTATTTCCGACTCAGAACTCTGATCTCTTTGCGACAATATGTAAGGATTGTGTGTCGCTCCGCTAGTATTCTCAGATGCCTGACTTATTTGCAATCCCGAAGAGTTGGTTTTAGTTGATGACAACGACGGTATGGAAGAAAAGATTGATGTGAAATATCCCGGTTTCGTTGGCTGATTTGTCGTATCCTTGATCTCCCTTGGCGGCGGAAACACACTCGTAGAATTCTCAGACAGCCTTGATGGAGTTTGAGATTGAACATTCACTGACTCTTGACCTATGAAGTTATCGAGTTCGGCATCTGGGAAAAGAACAAAAAGTATCTGTTTAACTCACTTGTCAATTTTATTTTAAACAATGTTATACCTTATTAGCATACTTTTCTATTTTATATTATTAAAAGTATTACTGGATATAAAGCGATATTCAAGGTGATATAATTATGACAGAAACTACGTCTTATGTGGAAAACATTAATATTATATTTAATGGAATAAATGCTTTTTTCAAAATTTGGACAAGAAATTGTTGGAAATTGATAGAATAAATTCGTTGAATAATTCTAAGTAATCGAATGTAATATAATAAAACTTCTTTTTCAAGACGACTAAATTCTTCAGCAGATTATTCACGATTTGTCAATATTGGACAGGATGCAATGAACGTAAGACCCAATGACGAAGATAATACTAGGTAATGCTAGCCGACAGGGACTACTTTTACCTTTTTACGTAATTGATTAGACGAACTTAGAATCACCGGTATTTTTACGTTGACATATATACGGCGCATGTGCCTAGATTTAAGTATAATTCACAATTATTAACAATCAAATGATATCTGCTACATGATATGGAATAGAAAACTCGTATCAGTTTACAAACATTTGATGTAGATACGTCATTGGATACTAATTTTCATAAAATAATTAAATTATTAAAAGAACGGATAATCTACACACT